CCCCAAAACCCCAAAACCCCAAAACCCCAAAACCCCTCTATTAATAAACACCAATGAATAATAGTAATTTAAATGAAATTAAACAGGGTAAGCGGGTTACTTCTTGGCACAAGCTTGATCATAAATGCAGCTTTAGCCCTTGTAGGCCCCTTCTTCCCTCAAGAAGCTGAAGACAAAGGTGTTGATATTAATATAATAGGATACATCTTTAGCGCATACCCATTCTCATTTGTGATAATTTCATTAATAATGCCGAAAATACTGAACAAATATAGCCAGAGATTCATGTTTATCGTTGGCTCAATCACATATGCTATCTCGGTGATCGGCTTTGGATTACTGATCTTTGTAGATAACGAGTTATTTCTCGCAATGGCGATTACATGTAGAGTACTACAGGGAGCTTCAAACTCTGTGGTTTATACAACAGCATATTCTGTTTTCTCAATGCAGTATGAAGGTAATGACATTATGCAGATGAATTCTTACTTCAAAGTCACACTTGGAGCTGGGCTGGTCATTGGGTTGCTCACAGGTACCCTGCTCTACATGGTAGGAGGATATTGCCTTCCATTTATTGTGTTTGGAGTGTTCTTCCTCTGATTTGTCCCATGAGTCATTGGATATTTCCCTTCAAAAATCGAAGTTTCAAGTGACTTGAAAGAGCGTCTGTGTGCGAACACCAATTCAGAGCAACAGAAGAGTGGACAATTTATTGATTTTAGTAGTAACCAAAACATTGTTAATTGTAAAGATCAAAGATTTTACTCTATAAGACCTTCAATCAAAGAAAACCTTGATGATGGCAACTTGAGGCATAAGTATTCTTTTGACCAAGAAAAGAGGGAGACTTTGGATGTTGAACACTCAAATTCTTCTCAAAGAGATTCTAAGAGGATTAAATTTGAATTTCACCAAGATATGGAGGCTGGTTCTCAAAGCTTGACGCAGTCAATTGTAACACAGATCATCATGAAATGTCTTATATTAGCTATCCTGTTCCTGAGTTTGCTTAATTTTGCTCCGGCGATACTATCAAAAAGATTAGAGGAGCTTAAAATCCATGAATATTTATATGGTTTAATATTCGCTATTCCATGAGTTGTCCCAGTTTGTTCAATATTCTTAGTAAACCAAATGATGAACAAGTTTAACGGAAATGCAGTCTTGATAACAGGCACCATCTTAATGTCATTTGGATTCTTCATAGTTGCCATAGAATCAGTCTTTTTCTTTTTAATTGGGATATCATTGTTAGGATTTGCTGCTCCTTTTGCAATCCTTCCTTTATTCCCACTAATGAGGAACAGTCTGAAGAGTGACTATAGAAACTCAAATGAGGCAATTAATGCCTTATCAGGACTATACAATGCTGCGCTGGGCATCGGAGCTATTGCAGGCCCTCTGATAGGGTCTCACCTATACTTCTATTTTGGATTCTTCACAACTGCTTATGTACTAGGCAACTTTTGAATTCTACTCTCAATTATCTTGTTCTGCTCTGGAGGATGATGAAGGTCAAGAGATGACGTGATAGAGTGTTCGGACTTATCTGAAAATCCTGGGGTGCTTAACAGCTCTTTCCTGGAGCCTAACATTCTACCAGTCCCAAGTGGAAGACAGTTTAATAAACCTTAAGAAGTCATATATCTTTAGTAAACTCGGATGGCTTCAATTCCGTAAATTTGATTACTTAGTTTATTAAGAACTTCAATTTTGAGACTTTCCTAAGGGGTTTTGGGGTTTTGGGGTTTTGGGG